TGGTTATAAAAGGCTCCTACCCCCTGGGAACGAGGTATGCTAACTTTGCGCTATCTGGTTTATCTTGCCTTTGAAGGATTCTAACTTGAGCTTCGGAGCCCTTACGCCGGGTTCTCCTCGGAGCTTCTCTTCTCCTTCCGTTTCAGGTCCCTGTTACTCAGTTCAGAGGCAAGATCATTGACAACTAAGACCGGCCAGATTGTGCATCATCAGATATAAATATAAAATTGGTAGATTATTTGTTTTATTTATATTTATAAATATTAAATTTTAATATTATTCTATTTAATTTTATGTTGGAATTGTTTAATATAAAGATATGACATTTATTCAGATTATATGTTTACAATAAAGATAATAACAATAATTGTATTTCATTTATTATCATAAATTAAAAGATCGTTTAATGGCTTAAATTGCTAAGCATCTTAAGTTGCGAATGGGCTTGGGTTTGAATCGCACAAGATGCAAAATTTTTTAAGATGGAAGTTGCGCATGTATCTATTGATCACAAGTACATTAGGAGCATAATGTACTTGTCCAACAACTAACCAGCACATTAAGAGCATCTCTTATCATTCATGGGGAAATAGCACATTAGGAGCATAATGATTACTACCCGTCCAACAACTATCTACGATTATGGATAGAAGTGTAGGTGATTCGAGCTTGAGCTCAACCCAAACTCAGCTCAAATTTGACTATCTTGGGCCAATTATAAATAAATTGTTATTAAAAATTTTAAATAAAAGTATTTAAATAATATAAATAAAAAATATATTAACTTATATTAGAAATTAGAAATAAATAAATGTTGCAAAATATTGTAAAAAACATATTATAAATTTATTTATTTTTTAGGGTAATATAAAAACTTCCCTTAAAATTTCTGACAATCATAAAAACCTCCCCTATAGTTTCATTTCAACAAGCACCTCCCCTGAATTTTTTAGAAAATTGACAAATACCTTCCTTTCCTCACCTTTCCGGACAGAAAACGTTAGATTAATACACTAGTTTTTCTAAATACCCATTCTACCCTTTTATTAATGATTTTACGTACAAAATTACTAAAGTAACCCTATTTTAACTAACAAACACCCTTTCGATACATGTGCCCCATGCATTTGCACTTTCAGTCTTTTAGTTCTCTCCATTCACACGACGAAGACCTATTGGTTTGGGTCTCTCTCTCTAACACAACAGAGTCTCCACTCATTGCAATCTTCTATAGTGGGGAAGGAAAAAAAAAACATCTTTTCCCTGTGATTGAATGAAAAAGAACCAAATAAAAAATGAAAAGGAAAACTGCAGAGGAAAAAAATCTTGGTTTTTCTAGTCTTTTTTCCATATCTCTATTCCCTAACAGCTAGCCTAGTGGGAAAATGACCAGCAACTGACCCTGTTCTCCCAGGTTATAAAATCGTAGATCCTATTGTTGTATTACGTGTTTTATATTTAACAGAAAACCCCCACAATCACTTCAGTACAAACTACATAGTCACAGTATATCCATTCCTACAACACCATGGGCATTCCCGCTGTTTTTCTCTCTTTTTCTTAAATACCTAACTACAAGTATATAATCAAGATGAATTTGAACTCAGTTTCTTATTTTTGATAATTAAAATATTAATTCTGGATTGTTGTGACATGAGCTTTACTTGAAAACCAGAAGAGTTGGAAAACTCAGCTATAACTAAACATATTATCTTGGGTGTTGTTTTCAATGTCAGTCTTCAAAGAGTACACGCAAATGCAGTCTAATTTCTCCATGAAATAAAAATTGAATGTTGTTTCATAATTTTCTCTTTGACCCTCAAACAAGTTAGCTTTTAACTTTTCTGTTTTCGTTTTCCGGTTGCTCAGCCTCATACGTATGTTGTCAATCGTAAGAAGAGTCTAATCACTGTTAAGGGGTCCATGGCTATAATAAACACATCACAGGAAACTCAAAATATATATTACTGCATTTGCTCAACATTGGGCCTCTGCCACCGTAGAGAGAGAAGGGTTGAACGAGTGATCAAAAGAAGCAAAGCGATGTCATTAGTCGGGATGGATTGTGAGAAAGAAACGGAAAGGATGAAATGGCTGAAATTGTTTGTTTTGTTCTCACATGACAAATGGTGTCTGTAACTTCATTCAACCAGAGAGAGAGAGAGAGAGAGAGAGAGAGAGAAGATAAGCATTTTCAAACTGAAAGGGGGTTTTGGGCTTAGTCACCACCATTTGGATACACAAAACCAGCTTGCTGACGTCGCTTTGGATTGGTGAAGAATCATTCATTAATGACTGATGAAGCATCCTCTGGCATCATTAAGGCTCGGCAACAGCCTCCCATTTCTTAGAATTGCTACAACAGGCTACTTTGGAAAGGGAAGGGGGGGAAAGAACATATGATAATATGTATTGAGGCAGGAACATATGATAATATGTATTGAGAGATAATATGACACCGTAGGTTGTCGAAAGGTAAGGGAGGAAAAAAAGGCATCTGTCGAAGTTCTCAAAAGTATTAAGGGAGATAATTAATAAATTAAACTAGTAGAGTTCAAGGAACTCTAATGCCAATCATAGAAACTGGCACCACCAACAAAAAATTTGGAATTGATTGTAGGGCTTTACCCGAGAGGGAGCCCTTCCAGAAATTCTCGACGGCCAGGGCAGAACCCAGGCCGAAGAGGGGGTTTGGAAATAGTTTTCAACCAGCAATTGACGCGCCTCGGTTAATACCTCACTAGCTGCGTCATTGCCCCAAGCGCAAAGATGAATTTTCCATCTCCTCACCTTCCTCTTTTATAGCCCATCTCTCCTCATCCTCTCCTCCAAAATTTCCGATGTGGGACTCATATATTCTTCCTTTCTCCTTCCCCTTTGCTCATGTTTATACCGATCGAACCAATCTACTATCTACACCGGTCGTATATCCGTAATCCATATACATTAACAGCCCAAAAAATCATGATCATTGATTTGATTGTTTGAATATGAACGATGGATGATGAAATCCATAGCTTCCTCATCTTCTTCGCACTTGTATTCATCTCTTGATTCTCTTCTTTACTTCTGCTTGAAACCCAAAATCTGTAAATGCACCCACCGGAAATCTCCGTTTCTGTATAATTTAATACCCAATGAGAGAAGCATATACACGGATATTCTCCCTCCACATTCTCCCCGAATTTCTGCAGAGTTCACTCTAAATTCTGTTGTCCCACAGCTCCTTTCTGCGTTAAAATCTTCCTCTTCGGTCTTCGATTGCCAGGTAATCCATGCCCAACTTATCCAGTCTGGAAAATACAATTTTGGGTTTATCGGTGATCAATTGGTAGCGGCGTATGCCAAGTTTGATCGTGTGGTTGATGCACGGAATTTGTTTGATGAAATGCCAAACAAGGATTTGGTCTCCTGGAATTCTATGATTTCGGTGCTTTCCCGAAGAGGAGATCTGAGCGAGAGCTTGGATGTATTCCGTAGGATGAGATGGGAGATGGGTATCAAACCCAATGAGGTGACGCTTATCTCCGTTCTCCCAGCTTGTTCCGATATGCAAGCATTAGATGGAGGCAGGTATATTCATGGTTACACGGTCAAATTGGGTTTTGAATCTGAAGTTAAAGTTGTTAACTCTCTCATTAACATGTACGGGAAGTGTGGGGCTGTAGATGCAGCTTATCGATTGTTCGATGCCATGCCAACGAGGAATTTAGTTTCGTGGAATTCAATGGTCGCAATTTGCAGTCAATATGGGTTTGATGAGGGTCTTGAAATTTTTAATTTGATGAGAAGAGCGGGTATCGTGCCCGATCGAGCCACCATGGTGACCTTGCTTCATGTTTCTACAGATTTAGTCACAGTCACAGGAAAGCAAGCAAAATCCATTCATGGTTGTATTGTCAGCTGTGGATTGAATTTGGACGTGACTGTTGCAACCGCGCTCATAACTGTGTATGCAAAGTCGGGGAGCTTGGGTTCCTCTCATGAAGTATTCTGTGAGCTGAACAACCCAGACAGAATAGCTTGGACTGCCATGCTTGCAGGCTATGCCAAGCATGGTCATGGAAGAGATGCAGTCGACTTCTTTCATCTCATGATTAAAGAAGGTGAAGAGCCTGATCATGTCACCTTTACACATTTGTTGAATGCATGTAGTCATTCAGGACTTGTCAATGAGGGTAAGACATACTTTGAAGTTATGTCTAAAGTTTATGGAATCGAGCCAAGGATGGATCATTATTCATGCATGGTTGACCTCCTTGGTCGCTCTGGGCATTTGGAGGAAGCCTATGAGTTGATTGAGAGGATGCCATTCAAGCCGAATGCTGCTGTCTGGGGGGCTTTGCTGGGAGCCTGTAGGGTTCACCATAAGATTGAACTTGGGAAGGAAGTTGCTGAGAAGTTGTTTTCCCTTGAACCACTAGACCCCAGGAATTATATTATCCTATCAAATATGTATTCGGCATCCGGTTTGTGGACAGAAGCCTCGAAGGTTAGAATTTTGATGAAGCAAAGAGGTCTCAGAAAAAACTCAGGTTGCAGCTTTATTGAACATGGGAATAAGATCCATCGTTTTGCAGCGGGTGATTGGTCACACCCAGAATCAGATAGGATTTACAAGAAGCTAGAGGAACTTGTTGGGAGGATGCGTGAAGCTGGGTTTGTTTCCCAAACAGGATTTGTTCTGCATGATGTTGATGAGGAGGTGAAGGAGGATATGATCAATCAACATAGTGAGAAGCTAGCGATTGCATTTGGGCTTCTGGTGATGGGCACTGGGAGGCCTATTATGATTACCAAGAATCTTCGTATATGTGGTGATTGCCATAGTGCTGCAAAGTTCATTTCATTCATGGAGAAACATTCAATTATCATCCGAGATTCAAAGCGTTTCCACCATTTTGCTGATGGCTTCTGCTCTTGTGGTGACTATTGGTGATCCCTGACGTTATCAAACTGATTATGCACAAAGGATTAGTAATTGAATCACAAATATGGTTAAAAGTGAAAATTGGTTAGTTTTTGCTTTTTTAGCTGATTTGTTATGTATAACCCAACTTTCACAATTTCTGATGGATTTGGTTATGGGGATCCTCTTCATTTCGGACTCGGATCTGCTACCCACGAGCTGTTCCCAAATCTCTACCCACGAGGCATTACAGCTACACATTGTGAACAACTCCCTTGTCATTCATGGGAAGATGTTCACAACACCCAGTGGTGGTGCTTAGTGGGTAGGGATGTGGGAACAACTTGTGGGTAGTAGATCTCGATTGCTTCATTTCAACCCACCTTTGGATATTGTATAACACATTTCAGGGGGACTTATGGGGTGGGGACAGAGTAGGGTGCATGTGATGTCCACCCACCGATTAGGAATGGCAATAGGGCGGGTTTGGGGTGAGGCACCCCCTCCTTGTTCCTGCCTCGTAGTCAAGATACTTTTTCTCGTCCCCGGTGGTGGGGCAGGTTTGAGGCGAGGCATCCACTCCCCATTGGGGACAGGGAATCCCCGAATTTTCCCACTCCAAGGCAATTACTTAAAAAATATCTATTTTGCGACAATTTACACATAGGATGTAGGAATTTGGGGGCATTTTAGGAATTGAATTATAATACTTTAGGGGTATTTCAAAAATGGAATTATAGGATCCTAGGGTTTTAAGAATTTAGGGAAAAACTTAGAGATATTTTAAATATCAATATTAAACTTAGAGATATTTACTAATTTACCTTCGGGTTTAGGGCGAGTTTGGGGAATTATATTTAATACCCACCCGTGGTTCGAGGAAAAAAATATTTTCCCCATCTCCACTTTGTCCTTGTTTAGGGTTGGGGGAAAATCCACCCCGTTTAGGGCGGGGCCCGATCTTACGGGGAAATTTTCCATCCTACCATCGATCATACCAAAGAGGACCTATTTTACAGCTAGGTGCCATTAGGCACTACATTAGCTAAACAGTAAATAAATGCCTTGGTGTTGGGGGAAACATTAAAATGAAACTTCCCCTAAGAGTTGGCTCTTATAGAAATTCTGACAAATATTTATTTAATAAATATTTTACCATACAATATTTCAAAATAAATGTTGTCAACACCCAAATTTTGCTCGGTGCCTTCACCCTACTTCTTTGTATCCTCCTTTTAGACTTCAAAACTTAAGACTTTACAAAGCTAAAAATTCCTCTTTTGGCACAATCCGCAGGGTAAATGAAAACCTCGAGATTAACATCGACATCCAATCAAATATAGCCTACGGACTTAGGAAACTATAAATTAGTCACACATCCACCATTCATCACGCCAACTTCCTTTCTGACGGCCCTAATCCAACACATCCATCGTCTTAAGATCAATGGGATATAATTAACAAGCGAATCCCACTGCAAGTTTACAATGATCAAGCCCAAAAGCATTAAGATCCCATTCTGACGGCCCTACACTACTAGTATTAGAAAACCTAGACTAACCATTTCTTTCTTAGGTTAGAACCATCAACTTGACTCACCCCCTTAACCTGTGCCTACCCACCAAATTTCAGCTCAAAATTCCCTTGTTTGATCCACCACCAAGTCTAGATCCTATTAATTAGATCTTATTATCTATCACCTCAACTTCATTTAACCAATTAGACATCATCACTATGTTCAGAGACCCAAAAAACCCTTTAGTACGTCAAATTTTATAACTAAACTCCTCTATTTGATCGTTAAAATAATGAGATTCCATTTTAGGCTGCTTCGTTAATTGATAAACCATTAACCCAAACTAAATTTGTAAATCTACACCTCTGATCAAAGATCCATCATTTCCATTAGATTTAGGACATTCAAAAGTGCCTACCCACCAAATTTCAGCTCAAACTTCCCCCGTTTGATTCCATAGATCTTAATTTCAACAAATCTCATTGGTTAAAACTTATCATCCATCATCCCAACTTAATTTGTCCAATCAAATCTTACCACTGTGTTTGGAAACCCAAAAAACTCTAGCACGTAAATTTTTATGACCAAATTCCTCCATTTGATTATTAAAAAGTGGGATTCCATTTCGGATTGTCTCATTAACTGATAAACCATTGACTCAAACTAAATATGTCAATCTACACCTATGATTAAAGATCCATCACTTCCATCAGATTCAGGTCATTCAAAAGTGCCTACCCACCAAATTTCATTCCAAAATTCCCCTATTTGACCTTTCATTAAGCAAAAATTCTATTTCAGCAAATCTCGTTGATCTGAACTTGTTATCCATAGATCTCCATCATCCTGACCCTGTTTGGCCATTCATACCTCATCACCATGTTTGGAGACCGAAAAACCCCTAGCACATCAAATTTCATGACCTGATTTTTTTTTGTTTGACCGTTAAACTAGGAAGATGCCATTTTGGCGCACCAAATCAAATTGCCACCTCATCTGTCACAACTTGAAACCTCAAAAGGGTGATGGCTGATGTTAGACCCATTCTTAAGTCCAATGAAATTGAGCCTAATAGACCAAAAAAACCAAAGATACCCCCACTTAAAACTAAGAAAAGATAAAATCACTTTTAAAAGTTCATCAAATTTACATTTTATGACACTGACAGCCCCAAATATGAAATTGCCATGACAGGCACACCCCAAACTCCCATTGGACACACAAAACTTGTAAAAACCACCTCCAAATTGAAGATAATCTTTCACCAAAGAGGAAAGGTTGACTGATCACCTTTTTCCTTGAAAAACCTTTACCCATTTCCTTGAAAAAATCCTTTTGAAATCCAAACTCCTTGATGGAATGAATTTCAAAACTCTCCCCCCTCCTTTCTTTATAAATATTGATCCAACTCGAGCTCAAAAGGGAGAAAGGGAAAAAAAGGGGAGAAATCTAGAAAGATAGGAGAGATTTAGAAGGGAGAAAAAGGGAAAGGAGAAAAGAGCATTTCCCCAACCTCTGTAATGCTTCCATTTTACCTGAAATCCCAAAGTATTTGAAGATCAAGCCTCAAATCTGCTTCCCCTATTTCCCAGACTGAAGATTTAAAACCTAAAACACTTACCCCAACTCAACAGCTCATCCAAGCTTCATTTGAATTTTTTTTAGCTATTAGAAAACTCTTCTCAAGGTTGCACATGAGAAGTAAGTCTCTCATTCCACATTTTTTCTAAGTTTGAATTTGAAATCTCTGCTTTTAGTTTAGTTTTGGGTTTCTTGAAGTCCCAAAACCATGGACAACTTTCATTCCCAAATTCCTCTAGACTGAGAAAAAGAGGTAAAGAGGTCTTAGGGAAATCAGTACCTAAGACCTGATAATATCACCTCAAATCAATTCTGGGTGAAGTTGGGAGCGTTTTTGCCTAATTTTAGGAGCTCTAAGCAACCATTTTCATTATTGTTTTCCGTTAGAAATTAAGCCTAAACAATTCCCGCATTGGGCTGCTACGATAGCTTGGAGAGAGGAGTGCCTAATACCTTCCCTCTCCCAATCCTTCTAGATTTAGAATCTTTCGTCTGTGTGTCTTTTTCTATGGAGAAGGGAGTCACTATCAAAGACATAAATCGATTTTTTGAATCTAAAAACAAGGGCCCATTTTCTCTGAAAAATGGGTGGCGACTCCATTTCTTTGAGCCGGCCATGAGCTTCATAGGATTCACAAATGCCTATGTGGGAATGAACTGGTGCCATTTTTCTAATAAGCAATAATGGAACTAAACTCCATCTTAGTACATTGTTGTATTCACTTTTCATTGGGGTTGCATGTGGTCACAATTGCAAGAAATCTTTTCTCCTCTTTCTAAGGGACGCCAAATGACCATGCCTCCTCTTGTTTTTTTGTTCAATTCCTTATTCATGTTATTTTTGAGTGTTGGTTTTAATTGCTCCTAAGTGGTGACATCAAGAGAAGACGGAGATGCCAAGTCCTTTAGTAGAGACCGCAATTTTGACGGGGAGAGGAGTAGATTTGATGAAGTTGAAGTGCATCTGGTTGTTGTGCTCTATCCATGAAAGCAAGAGAATGGCTGAGGGGCATGTGGGTTCATGAGGCGACACAATGGGGACTAGCCCATCCCTATAACTAGTACCCTTGACCTTGGTGGTAATGGTATTTTATCCAAGTTTCTACTATAAGTTGGTAGAAAACTTACCAACCATCAATTACTTCTCATACCATATAAATTATTTATTAATAAAATAAATTAAAATGAATTTAATATTATATATCATAACAAATTAAATTAAAAATAACTAACATCAAATTTAAACTTATTAATTCCTAAGTAAAAATATAACATTCAAGATTTTAATATTGTACACATACTAGCATAAGCACATGCTCTACAACCATGGTATTTGAATTCAACTTTTATGACTTGCATAAAATTGAAGGCTAGGGGTGGATTCGAGCCGAGCCAATCCAAATAGTACCAGGCTCGAGTTTGGTTTGATCCAGAACCTTGAGCTTAAGCTCGGCTCGAGTAAAAAATTTATAAGCTCGAGCTTGGCTCGACTTGATCTCAATTTTGAGAAAAACTCGATTTTAAGAAAAAATAGTTTAATAAATTAAGAATTATAATAATTAATAATTATAATATTTTTATTATATATATATTATTTTTTATAATTTTGAGCCGGCTCGCGAGCCTCACGAGCTGAGCTCAAGTAGGTTCGAGCTCAGCTTGTTTAATAATCGAGCCAGTGAATTGGGCTCGAGCTCGAGCTCGGTTCTAATAGAGCCGAGCCGAGCTTGAGCAGCTCGTGAAAAGCTCGGCTCGTTGCCACCCCTACTGAAGGCAAATGTCTGATTTAATATTGTCACATTCCCTTACTCCAATTGTGATATCTCAACCCCTCTTTGCTTTAGCCTTCCTTGCTCTCTCAAGAACCCACATCACTAGTCTCCTGCCCCTCTCTCGTATGATACCTCATCATGCTTGACCTTCTTAATTCGTAAGAAATGTGACAGGTTAGGAACCCACTTCTTTCTCTTTATTTCCTTATCTTTTCCTTCATTTTATTTTAATTTTTGGAGAATACATGTAATTGTGTATAGGTAAATTTGTTGCATTCTCCTACTAAAACGGTCATGTATTTACTTT